TGATAACTCTCCAAATGATCTCCATATCTATTATTGTGTTCTGGTTGTTTGCTTAGTTTGTTTTTTCAGATTCAGTTGTTGATAGTTGTGAATTTGTTGCCATTTTATTGTTCATAGTTTGATCTTTCTTTTTCTTAAATAAGTCCCTTTAACATTTCATCTGATAACGGCTTGGTGATGATGAACTCCTTTACCTTTACCTTGTCTGGGAAGCACTTTTTCTGCCCTTTGATTCTAAATGATAGCTTTGCTGGATAGAGTAATCTAGGCTGTAGATCCTTGCTTTTCATGACCTTGAATACTTCTTGTCAGTCCCTCCTAGCATGCAAAGTTTCTTTTGAGAAATCAGCTGACAGTCTTCTTTCTGGGAACTCTTTTGTAGGTAATTATCCGCTTTTCTCAAGCTACTTTTAAGATTCTTTATCTTTAACATTTGGCATTTTAGTTATGATGTGTCTTGCTGTCGTCCTCTTTGCGTTCAACTTGTTTAGGACTCTCTGTGCTTCCTGGACTTGTATGTCTATTTCCTTCGCCCAATTAGGGAAGTTTTCTTTCATTATTTTTTCAAATAAGTTTTCAACTTCTTGCTTTTCCTCGTCTTGTGGCACCCCTATGATTCAGTTGTTGGTACATTTGGAGATGTCCCAGAGGCTTCTTAAGACTATCCTCATTTTTTTGAATTTTTTTTTTTATCTTGATGTTCTGATTGAATGCTTTTTTCTTCATTATGCTCAAAATCATTGATTTGATTCCTGGTTTCATCCCCTCCACTGTTGGTTCCCTGTAGATTTTTTTTTTTTTTAACTTAATGTAACCTTCGTTTTTGCCTGGGTCTTTTTTATGCCGTTGCTGTACTCAGTGTGCTTTTTGGGTATCCTCATAACCAGTGTTTTGAACTCTGAATCTGATAGGTTGGTTATCTCCATTTCATTTAGTTCTTTTTCTGGAGTTTTGTTCTGTTCTTTCATTTGGGCCGTATTTGTTTGTCTCCTTAATTTGGCAGCCTCCCTGTGCCCTTTCAGCCATTGTGCTGGTGCTGAATCCCAGAGAGGGTGGGTTTGCATAAGTCCTAAGTCCATGCGGCCCTTTATGAGGAGTCTCCTGAGAATCCGGCAGTTTCTTCTGCTACCCCAACGTTCAGTAGTTTTTACAGCCAGAAGGTATGGGGATTTATCTTTCTGTCGCTGGAACCCTAGGCTGCGTGGTCTGGTTTGGGACTGGGATCCCTCACTCCCAAGGTTTTCCTCCTCATTTTTATCCTCCACACGTGAATGTGGGACTGCCCATTCCACTGCCTCTCTGTGACACCCCATGGTCTCTGTGCCTCTTCCCCTCTCCGACTGTCTCCGCATCTCCGCCCCTCTACCTGTCTGGATGCATGCAGCTTCTTTAAATCCTTGGTTGTCATACTTCCATACAGTTTGATTTTCTTATAGTTCTGAGTGATATTTGTTTTGTGGTATAGTTGTAATGTTTTCTGTAGTTGTGGGAGGAGGTGAAGAGAGTTTACCTAGGCCTCCATCTTGACTGGAATTCCTGTCCTCTTTATTTTTTAAATCCTCACCTGAGGATATCTTTCCCTGTTATTTCCTGGACTTTGGGGGCTCCTTTGTTATTCTCCAATGATTAGTTTTAATACTCAAGAGGGAACCCTATTAGTCACAACACACATATAATATGTAATCCTGGTCACTTTACTGCCATAAAAATCTTTCTTGCATCTAACCCCATTTTTCTATAGCTTAAGACTCTCTCCATTTTTTCTGTCCCATTAGTTCAATAAAAGATCATTACAGACCTGCTCGTATAAGTTTTTCATATATGCTTGCAAAGGGCTATGAAATTTTATCATATTATACTTTAAAAAATATTTTATTTATTTTTAGAAAGAGAGGAAAGGAGGGAGAGAGAGAGAGAGACACACACACTGATGTACAAGACAAACATTGATCAGTTGCCTCTTGCATCTGGTCAGTTGCCCAGTTGCTCCTGAACTGGGAACCTTGCCCACAACCCAGGCATGTGCCCTTACTGGGAACTGAACCAGCAACCTTTCACTTTTCAGTATGATGCCAAAGCCACTGAACCACACCAGTCAGGGCTATTATGATTATTCTTGAAGTTTAAATTTTCCTAATCTTTCCTTTCAGATTGTGGCGTAGAATGATAGTTACTTTCCAATATCCAATTCTCCCTTTTGCACTAGATACTCAGCTATATGATTATATTTTTAAAGCCTCCCTTGCAGCTAGGTGTGGCCATGTGACTAAGCTTCAAGCCAGTAAGCACTGTGTTATGTGGATCTTCTGAAAAACTCCCTTTCTTCTGCCCTGATGTTTGGAATAAAGATACAATAGCTGGAGATCAATAGCCAGCCTGGGCCATGAGTTTGAGGTGTGGTGGGCAACACTGTCTGCTGACCCTTCTACTAGAAATAAATTTCATAGGAATAGGCACCTTTTATATCTTGGTCAGAACAAAACTCTCAGCACCTAAAAAGTGTGTGACATGTGGTAAGGACTCAGGTATTGAATGGGTACTGAATGAATAAAATGATTGAATAAATGAGTTTACTCCAGACCATGCAAACATTAACCATAAAATTCTCCCAGGGGATATTTAACCATTAGTAGGCAAATGCAAGTTTTCAGTTTGTATCATAAAATAAAACTCTTGCTTAATTCAAATCACATTACTCCTATTAGTTTCCCTTTGTTCTCCTGGACTTGCCACTGTTGTAGTAGGAGAGAGTTTTTTTCTTACTGGTTTCCAATGTTCCCTTTGAACAAAATGTTCTCAAAACTATTTCCCTAATAATTCTTCCCAATTCTTTTTTTTGCTTAGCAAGTTTAAAATTCTTTAATTTTCAATGACATATATATCTATTTGTGTGCGTTTCTTTTGTTAAATGCAGGCACTATTTTGTAACTTAATCTCAAGTTACAAGAATCATCCAAAATACATTTCTAAGAGTTCATACAATATTATTATTATTATTATTATTATTATTATGGAATGCAGTCAATAGGTCCTATGGATTTAACTAGACTCTGTTTACTGAAACTGAACTTCATCTAACCCTTTTCCATTCCACTGTGGTTTCCCACATTTCAATATATTGCCTATTCTTGCCATCAATTCTTATATCTTTTAAACTATTAAACATTAATCGTCCCTGCTTCCCTGATTTTTAAGGTGACTTTTCCCTCTGGCTATCCTCTTAATAAAGGAGAACACTCCCTCTGGTCCTTTTTTATGGCACATTGTGTGTTTAAAGAGTTTGTAGATGTTCACACTTTTTGCAATTATATTTCTTTTTTTTAATTTTATTTTTCAATTAGTTTACATTCAGTATAATTTTGTGTCAGTTTCTGGTGTACAGCATAGAGTGATCTCAAACAATTAAACTCTCTAAGCCTTTGTTTTCTCTTCTGCCTGAGGACAATGAGGACAGGAGTGTTTCCCCGCATACAGTGCCTAGCACCTAGGAGAGACTTAATGTTGAATGAAATGAAATCATTAAAATGCACATTAAAAAAATGTTCTTCCTTTAAAAAAAAATCCTGATACATCATTCCTCCCACATTTTACTTCTACCTTTATTTTCTGGTAATCACAATATGGTGCCTTGAGGAGTCCACACTACTCTGGCCTTGCCCCTGAACAATCATGTGATCTTGCGAGCGTTACTTCACTCCTGTGACTCAATTTCTTACGTAAAATGAGGATTGTTTTGGATGGTTAAATAACTAGCTTGGAATGGGGTCGGGTGGGTAGTGTTTGCCAGATGTTAACATTCTCATCATCTTCATCAGACAGGACTGTGGTACCCCACCTTGTGGTTCTCTCTGTTTCGTGTGAGAAAATCGTGCTTCAAGCATTGTTGTTGGCTAAATGAACGAACGAGCGAATGAATGAATGAATAAATGAATAAAATCTGGAAACTCCTGCCCTGGAAGGGAAAAACAGGCGAGGAAAGCGAACCAGTGACTCCCTGCGTTTCTGAGCTGGGAAAGACTAGTTGGGTCCCTATTATGTCGATGAGGAAGTGGAAGGGTGACGTGTCCTCGAGTCTCATTCAAGACACACACACAGTCATTTTCAGAGTTGGGCCAGGACCCCAGGGATTGCTATACCAAGTGGCAGGTGAGAACTAACACTTTTAGAAGGTGGAGAGGAGGATTTAGTTACAAAAACGGTCAAAAAATTAGGGTGTAACTAAGTTCACCCCGAGAAATACAGCAAATTAGTCAGCTGTCAGACCCTGTGAAAGAGTTGCTAACCAACTGATTCTTTACTGACAGGGGCTTTCTACAGAGCCCACTGACACAGGGCTTCTTCTTTAACAAAGGTCCCCTGCGCTTCCCTCGGACCGGAAAGTCGGGGCAGCACGCGGGCGGCGGGATGAATGGAAACCCGAGTGTGGGGCGCGCCGCGCTGTGGGGCGGAGTCGCTGAGGGGCGGGGGCGGGGCGGGGCATTGTGATCACTACCTTCTCAGTGAGGCTGACCGCGTGGAGAGAGCTCTGGGCGTGATTGGTCCCTCCTAACCAGGTGACCTCAGAACGCGTTCCGGTTGGCTGGTGCCAGCCTGGACAACGGCCTTCAGTTGAGAGGCGGTTGCGGGAGGAGGAGGAGCTTCGGCTGCGCTCTCTTCCCGCAGTGGTTGTAGCTTTCAGCGCTTGTCTGGTCCCCACCCCTTTTAAATAAGTCGGGCTGGGCGCAGCTCTCGCCCACTAGGCAACTCCTGAGAGGCGGTTGCTCCTCGGCGGAGAGAGGTGCGGCGGGGCCCGGAGCCCTGTCAGGGGCCCGGCGTCCCTGCTGCCCGGCGAACAGCGGACGAGGCCGAGCCTGTTTGTGCGGCGCAGCCCCGGGGGCTGCCCGTGCCGGCCGCGCCATTGTTGGGGGAGGGGGCACTACTGAGCGCGGCGGAGTCGGGGGTTGAGGCAGGAGTCGGGGACAAGCAGAAGCGGCGACAGGGGCGAGGAGTGTAGGCACCTCATGGGGAACACACTGACCTGTTGCGTGAAGCCCAATGCCAGCCCCAAGCCCAGCCGGCGCTCGGGGCTGGCAGAGCCGGACTACGAGTCTGAGATCTACGAGGCGGCGGCTGGGGACATGGTTGCAGTAGCACCTACTCCCGCTACCCTGGACCCCGCGGAGTTGGATTTCGGAACCGGCGAGGGCCACCACCTGCAGCACATAAGCGACCGGGAGATGCCGGACGGTAAGGAGGCGGCAGGAGACGGGAGCTCTCGGGAGTACCTCTGGCCTCCGCCGCCCCCAGGGTCCCCCGGGAGAGAGCCACCGCCTCGGGCTCCTTCCTGCCCGGAGCCGGCCTTCCCGGGGCTGGGCACCGGGGAGGAGGGCTGGCTCTGCCTGGCGTCCCCACCCCTTAGTCTTTCCTCGTCCCGTCCGGTCAGTTTCCCTCTTCACTACCAAACGGTCAGTTCTTTCCCCTCTCCCCGTTTCTCATCCCAGCCTGAGACCTTCCGCCCTACCTGTTTTAGGCTCTGTTTAGTGTCTGGTGGGACTTCATAAAGATTTTTGGGTCCATTGTCTCAGTGAAAACTTTAATACCCCAAGCTCGGAGTAGTCTTCCGATCAGCCTGTCTTTCACTGCCCAGAAGGTGCCTAAGTGAAGGAACCAGGTAAGGGCCTGGCGGTACCCTTGCCTCCCACCCATTCAGGCAGTTGATACTTGGGGCAATGCAGACACAAACATTTTGGGATTTGTTATTACAAACATTTTAGGATTTGTTATTTAAGTTCAAAATAGAGACTGGCATAGGAGAGTCTACATGGTATTCTTAAGTAGGCAATTTTCAGTTGGATAGAAGCTGCTTTATTCCTTCCAACTATAATTTGAACACAGAAGGAAAGAAAATGTGGGATTGGGAACTTAAAATAACTGAACGACGTGAAATGCTACTGCCAGCGCTGCAGAGCATAGGTCCTACCCCCCCACCCCGCCCCGCCCCGCCCAGCAGAACCCAGAGAGTGCTGGTTGCTTCAAAAGTCCCGCTTGGACACAAATATGTCTTGCCTTACTTCAGTATCTTAACAGGTTTTGCCTTTGCTTGTTCTAAAGGACAGGTGGGATGGTTCATGAAACCGTGGGTCAAAAGTTTCAAAAGAGAACACAAACATAAACTTAGACTTCAATTTGTAATATATAAAGGTTTGGGAGTCAAGATGCCAGATCCTGCACAGGATTGTTTGTCTCCATGGCTCCCTCTCCTTCCTCTCCCCTCCTGTCCCTAGAATCCTGTTCAACTTTACGAATGTTAAGTAAAAGTTCTAAAGACCAAAGGGCGGGGCGGTGGGGGGGCGCAGGGAGCGGGGAGAGAAATGAGGACATGTTTGATTTAAAATAATTCTGGGTAGCAACTCGGCTAATGAAGGTTGTTCTTTGAGTAGAAAACAATGTTCCTTAAAGGCATTAAAGGCCCATTGGCCCATTTGTTTCATTAAAATGTCAGAGATTATTTCGTTATTTCGCAGAGAAAATGTCTTGTAGTTCTTATTCTATTTAAACTTTCACTGAGCTCTTTAAATTTCTCTAAAAGTTAGAATAATTAAGCCTGTGGATTCACCCAGGTGGTGGACGTGACATGGTAACTGGAAAGTACTCCCTTTTCAGAATATTCAAATATCATGAAAAAAAAAGGAACAAATTATGTGAAATAATTGTACCTTTAAACACAAAGCAAGTAAGTACTTGTGAACACTTCTGCTCTGCTTGGTGCTGTATGGTAAGCCTCTGAGTGATTTCTCAAACCAGTTAATAGATGGGTAGTGGTGGATGCAAGACCAAATAAGTCCTTTATATAGTCTTTTAAGATTTACAACACATTTCCATGCGTATCAGTTGGTCCTTCTAACTACAAATGAAGTCCCTATTCTCCCTCCATTGCCAATGAAGAAACAGAGACTTAGAGATCCGAAATGACTGTGTAACAAAGCTACTGAACAGAAGAGGCTGATGTAGAGGTGATAGATACGCCAAGTTTAGTTCTTGTGGTGCTTAAACTCTTTAGAATGCAGTTTGTATTTTAAAATTTCTCCATAAAATGAACCTCTTAACTTACTCCGGTGTTGATTATTTCCATTCAAAATTATTGTACACAACTCAGAAGCAACATTTACCTCTCCATCCTATATTTCTAAATTACTTAATGATGAATAAGAATAAAAGTAGGAGTCATAAAATAGCATGAATTTAGCAGGTAAATGAGTTGATATATTTTAAAGAATTTGTTCTGGTGACTTCACATTGAAGCCATGAATGCCCTGGACAGAGAGACTTGCAGAGAAGCTGGTAAGAGGGCAGGTAAGGTAACAAGGATTAAACATAGGACTATGATAAGGAGTGATAAATCAGAAGAGTTGAAAAAATAGAATTTGTGAGTACAGAATTTACCTTTTTATATTTAACATGATAGCTAAAATTTTATTCCAATTTATTTTTTAATTTTGGGGGAATTCAATAAAGTGATATAAGAAAACTCAATTGGAAGGTTTGCTATAAAGTTTCCATAGAAACAGGTCAGAACCCCCAGTACAAAGTACAAGCACATGGAAAGTTTGTTTTTAATGTCTTTATTTCAGTTTTATATCAGTTTCCCTAGAAACTAAGAAATACCTACTTAGATGTAAAGCATTTTGGCTTTTCTACAATGGAGAATTGAATTATTTGGTTACTTACACAAAATCATACAGGAATGATGCTCTGAAACAGAAAAACATAATATTTTCAAGTCATTGAAAAGAAATATTTCTAAGAACTTAGCATAGATTTCAGATAGACTTAAAATAATTTTTCTACCTTGCCTTTATCTAACATTATATCTAATATAACTGATGTATATCTAATATATATTAATAATAAAAAAAGACTAAGTTTCTGTTACCCAATTTTATTATTACTCATCAACTTCTCATACAGCGTTTCATATTCTTACCTTATGAGCTTTGCTAGTCTGCCAGCTAAAGGTGCTCTCTCCAGTGACCCCTTCTACCCCCTCCCCCTGAGGAGTGGTAGAGAAGGAATTGGCAATACCAGGTGAAAAACCTCTAAGCAACAGACCTTATCTCTTTTCAGTAGCTATTTTAAACCCTCTTTTCTTCTTTTTTTGGGGGGTGAGGGGTGTGCATAACAGTATTAATAAGCATTTGAAGTTATTCACTTATGCTCAGAATATCCAGAACTTTGATTAATATTTTGGTGTTGATTTTTTTTTCCTGAGCTTTTTATATGCATATAAACATAATACTTTGTTATTCTACAAAAATGGTTACTCTTTATGTGCTGCTTTGTAACTTTTTGTTATAAAGAGAAGTAATGACATAAAGCTCCTGGAACTATGCTTGACACCTAGAGAGCTTTCCAGGATGTATTTTCCTGTGACTGTATGGAGCTCTACCGCACACCTTTGAATAACTGTCCAGTGTACCGTCAAGTGGTTGGAGCATGAATCGTTTACCCACCCTTTATAGTTGGTCATCTTTTAAAGTGAAATTGTACACAATCCCATTATAATGCTTTATTCTGATGTCACAGATAAAAATGATTCATTATACCTCCCTGTAGTATTCAGATACTTCCTTATAACTTAATTAGGATCTCATTTTGTAGTTAAGGTATTTTAACATTAAATATTCTTAATCCCAAAGTAAAGTCACCATTAGTTTCTCACTGGACTCTTAGGTTTCTGTGGTTCTTGTGTCTTTAGTTCTGAATAACTGCTATGCTCATATCTGAAAGTAATGCTCATCTGAGATGGTAAAAGAAAAGATAGCATTGGGTGAAACCTTAGAAGATACGGAACAATTGGGAGAAACCTAACTGGTTTGGGTGCACTGAAATTGTTAGATGTCTGTTGGATACCATTCCAGATGCATGACAATGACATGCAAGACAAAGCCCCTACCCTAACTCAGGTGCTTAACATTCTGGAGGAGCCCAGGGGCAGACGACTTAGGAATGAGAAAGTCAGGATGGTGTAAGACAGTCGCTCTTCTTAGGGACGTTGAGAGGGAGCCATGTGAGGATGCGGGAGGAGAGCTGTCCATGCAGAGTTCCTCACCGACCGCAGGCAGAGGACAGAGGGACAAGGGGATGGCTTCAGCAGAGGAAAAGGGGTGCTAGGAGGAATGTGGTGGATTAAGACCTTGTGTGTCTAGTGTGCCTTGACAAAAAATAGGAATTTTAATGTAGTTGTGATGGGAAACCATTAGAGGATTATACAGGGAAATGATGTTAATTTTAGAAAAGGGGAGGGGGTGGAGAAGGGGAGAGGCTACTGCGTGAAAATAGCGTGGAAGCAGGGAGACCAGGTAAAAGCCAACAGCGGCTTCAACAACAACAACAACAAAAACCACTAAGGGTCTAAAGTGGGCTGACTTAAAGAAATTAAGTGAATCTAAAAGTAGTAATGAAGATATGAATGGACAAGTCGCAGAAAAAGAAATGCAAATAAAAGTATACTGCAGTTTCTCTCCTATTGAAGACTGTCCATAAACTTGGCATTTTGATAAGGCTGTGAACAGTTACCTTCACATACTGGTGATGGAAGTGCAAAATGGTTCGATTCAATGAAGGGGACGTTGGCATAATCTCAAAATGCAGATGCAGAAATCAAAATCCTACGTCAAGATATTTATCCTGAAGACATATCCCACAAATATGAAACCACATATTCACAGAGTTTTTGTTGCATTATTTTCAAAAGAAAAATATTGGGAAAAACTCATGTCCAATAAGGGTCTGGTATAATAAAATAAACTAGTACACGCAACACAGCAGATAACTGGGGAGCTATAAAAAAGAATAAGATCTCTTTTTACTACTATGTGGTAATCTCTAGGATAAGTTACATGAAAAAAGGAAGGAGAAGACATACAGTAACTATATGATAGAAGCAGGGAAAATAAGTGTGTGCTTATTTTTAAAAAAACCACTGGGAGAAATTCTCGCTAATTGTGTAACTGTTATTCCTTTCCCTTTAGTCAGTAGCCAAAGCACATATTTAAGTTGATGTTTGGGTATGGGTAAGGAGTGAACCTTTTATATACATTCCAGTGCAATGCTAAACATTCTCATTTTGCTTTGAGTTAATTTGTAAAAGCTTTGTTTTGTCATTTATTGTGCTTTATATATATGTTACATAGATTGCTCTTGAATTTCGTTTGAGATTCAATATATGGATTCCAAATGAACTATATGTTGATTCTCAAGTGAAATCAATATCTCAAATATTTTGAGTCAGGTAGTATAGGACTTATATCTGTTTTACATGGGAGAAGACAGGCTCTGAGTGGTGTAAATTTAAGTTACCTAAGGTTTGAAATATGAAGCTTGATAGAGCAGGAATGTTAAATTCCAAATACATGGCACAAAGGGATTGAATTTATAGAAAGGCACATCATGTGAGTAGCTTTGGGGATACTACCTGTTTTCTCACCTCCCTTTTTTAGTGTATTAAAGTAATTAAGCTTCGGGGTTAAAACAGTAACATTGCATAATGTGAAATGAAACAGATAAACTGTAACTCAGAAATGTTCTTAAAGTCTGAAGCACTAAGCAAAGTACTATTTAGAAATGCATAAAGAAAGGTGTACTTCTCTATATGAAGTGTCACATCTTAGTCACGGTCACTAAAACATGGATTGATGATTAAAACAAGGCAAGACTGAGAACCAACGTTGAGGCAGCTACAGAAGTAGTTTGGAAGCCAGACTGAGGATTTTCAGAGGCTAGAAAAGCAGAGTGAGGCTCGAGGAGCAGTGGGCCGCGGAGCGCAGGAGCGTGCGGTGTGCCCTCTGGTGAGGCAGGCCTGCTCAAGGCCGTTCGGTAGGAATTACCTGACTGGAAAGAAAAGTGGACTCAGAGACATAAAATCATCTGTGTATATGATAACTGTTAGACCCTAAGGTTTGTGTTATAGGCCATGAAACTAATATAATATATAGTAAATGCAATGTATAGTGCGGCGATGATAGAGTAGTTCAGTAAATGAGGGAGCCTTAAGTGTACAGGGGCCCCGCAGTGGGCCCAGCAGTGGGCCCAGAAGCTGCTGACATTTCTGTTTAGTTGGAATATATCAGTGTCTTTCTGAATATGCTGCTTCCAAATCTTTGCTTATTGTTAGTAATGCTGCAATGAACATAAGGGCACATACATTCTTTTGAATTAGTGTTTTGGGTTCCTTCAGATATGTTCCCAGAATTGAAATCGCTGGGTTGTAAGTTTCATTTTTAATTTTTTGAGAAACATCCACACTGTTTTCATAGTGGCTGCACCAGTCTGCATTCCCACCAACAGAGTGCTAGGGTTTCCTTTTCTCAACATCCTCGCCAGCACTTGTTGTTTGTTGATTTATTGATGATAGCCATTGTGATCGGTGCGAAGTTATATGGGTACTTTAAACAAAGCATTATTTTGGCTCTTACAAATTACCGTTTATGATATTTGTTAAAGGGGTGAGCAAATGGATTTTACCTGTCCCCACCTTTAGTGTGATAATTAATACTATTGATTAACCAGGTTTCTTTTAGTTGCCAGTTAAAGAAAATCTATCTCAAAATAGCTCAACATTTTTTAAAGAAAGTATTGACTTGTAAAACCAGAGTTCACAAAATAAAAATCAAGGTACTCCTCGATCCAGGAATTAAATGTTATTCTCAGAACTTGTCTCAGTTCTGCCCTCCTGTGATCTCTCCTGACGAGGTCCCAGGCCAGCTGTGATTGATTGGCCAGCCCTGGGGCACGTGCCCACCCCTGAACCCCAGAGGGTAGGGTAAGGTTGTTCCCATTTTTTTTTCTTGCCACTCGGGCTTGTTCAGCATTTTCTGTATTCACATCCATAGCAGTACGCCTTGGCTTGGGGCATGCCCGCACTTGCACGTGTGTGTGTGTGTGTGTGTAAGCCTGCTGCTTTTCTGATTCTGGTACTTTTCCTGGACTTTCCATTAAGAATCTTTATCATGCCGTAGGCACTGATACATAATATGGCTACCTCTGCAAACATTTCTGCTTATATTTTGATTAAAATGCAATGTATTTGCTTTATTTTTTGGTAGGAAGTAGTCTTGAACCCTTTCAGAAGCCTGAAGTTAGAGGCAGCTGTGAAAATTTCTGCCTGTCACTTTGTGCACAGCTGAATTAATTTATTTTTCCAAATAGCTAACATTGTCTCATTTTTAAAATATGTGGAAAAACCTTTAAAGTAATTTTATGGGCCTTTTATATAAAAATGTCAAATAGAATAGTTGCTCCAAAAGCAGTTTAATAAACTTGAAATTCAGTGAAGGAATTTCTCTAGAAAATAAAGCAATTAGTTTAGCTATATAAATTTCTTGTGCTGGCAATGCCATTGAAATGCATGATTCAGATTCTTGTTAAACCAGGAAGTCCCAAGTTATGTTTGTGTAAGATTCTAACTGTATACATGGAGGAGAAAAAAGGATTCTAGGTAGAAAAATTCATGAAATGCTGAGTTAGACATTACTCATTACTAGACTGATCAATTTTTAACACATCAATGTACATTTTGATTCTTTAAGAACCAGGGATATAGTATATTTAGATTTGACCACACAATGCCCTTTTAAAAAAATAGAACCGTTATTATATGGTTTGGGAACTATTATCTTAACCATTCCTCTATTGGGATCTTGGTCCACTTTCTTACATGATTAGTTAAGTGGTTTGAGATGGACATTACTAAGGAGTATCATAGGGTTCTTTTTTTTGTTTGTTTTAATAACAACCTTGTTATCCCATACGGTGGCAAACTTTGTTTTATTAAAATACAAGTACCTGTTTGTATTCTTCCTGAACTAGATTATCCCACCTTAGTGCAAGGTGGATTTCAGGCAGACCTACTTTTACACAGGTACAGAGAAGTTTTTTTCAAGTAGCCCTATGATTAGCTCCAGAAAGTATTCTTAGTGAAGCCCCAAAATAACCATGTGGCATAGAAAGAAGAAGTGAGAATAGCTTTGGAAATTGGGGGCAAAAGTTAAAAATTACTTTTATGAAAGTATTAAATATCACTATCATGAATGTATTCCTATAGATTAGAACATTGAGCTTCTATGCTATCCTTTTAAATCTGCCACAGTGAATAGCCCCCGAGTAAACCACAGCCAACTAAATAAGTTCAGTTATTGAATGGAGTTAGAGTTAGCCTAAATGTCTAAAGAATATTTGCCAAAAACAACTCACTTGGTTTTGGCATATTTAAACATTAGTTGGTATCTGACAGTAATTGGTCACTGCATAACTTGCTTCTTGAGACGTCCTGGAATGTGTTAGTAATACCAGCATAAAGGAGGGTGACTGTGTATTTTTAATTGATAAATAGAAGAGGGAAAGCACAAATGTGTTTCACCTAAAAGTTGAATAGATTATTTAGGTGCAAGTTAAAAAAAAAGTCTAAGACATAGCTTGGTTTTATTCTACAATTTTGTATTTTTCCAGTAGAATTTCTATATTGTTGCCTTTACTAAAATTGGCTTGTTATCATTGCTGAAAACTCTTCCCAGCACTATTAAAAGTGATTAAAATTGATGATGTGTAGCTATTTTTAATCTTATGTTTTTCTAAGTGATTAGAAAACTAAATGATTACTTCTTTTTCTCTTCTTATACAGAGTTGGCTTTGGAATCAAACCCTTCCGACCACCCGAGAGCGAGCACAATTTTCCTGAACAAATCTCAAACGGATGGTAAGACAGTATTTTTTCCCTCTGAGAAGATTGAAAGCTGTTTTTGTTTTGTGCGTTATAGAAAGTATTTAAAAGAATTCATACATTGGTTTAAATGTTTCACTTTTTCATCTACCTACCCTTTTGATTTTAATATGTGATGATGGATACACTTCTCTTTAGTTGCCACTGTTTCAGTGAGAACAGGTGGACTGTTTACACATTTTGCCACCTCTTGATCAACACAGTCAATTGGCCACATGATTTAGATGTGGTCTCTTTCTCCTAACTATGTCCTTTTCCCCTTGTTCCAAAGAGCACACATTTTAAAGATGAATGATAGGATTTAGGTCAGAGGTTTTCATTTGAACAAATGAAAGAAATTAGTTTATATAGGACTGAATTTGTGATTTTGACCCCATTTTACATAGTGCTCAAATGATTCTATATCACATCCAGATTTATACTCAGAACTTTTAAACTATTCAAAACTCTCTCGTTCTGAGGTAATGCTGTGCCAAGGTATATCGGAGTAAACATATCCCTAATGGAGTTTCCCAGAAGGTTAGCCTCAGCATGTGTTAATTTCCCGTGTCCTATTTGTTTCAGGATAACAATCAGAACTGCAAGATTTTTACACTTCTGCTTGCCTGCTTATATTTGTTAACGTTATGTTAAATCTAGTTTACTTTCTTAAAAAGCCACACATGATCAAGTCTTCCAGTTGATTATGACAGCAGAACCACAAGAAGCGAGGGTTCTGTAGTGTTTTCAGTAATGCAGCGCAGTATAATATGGGGGTTTCTAATCTGCCTTTTCATGGTGTATGTGTATTTTGCCTGTCTTGAGCTGTTCATTTTTGGTTAGAATTGCTCTATTCCTCAGTTTCTTCCAGAGCCATGGGCTGCTCACATGTAGAGAGAGAGTGGAGACAGTAAAGGAAAAACTATCCCATGTCCCTCTCTTCGGTCTTAAGGAATAAGTGCCTCTGATGCCCAGCCTACATTAAAGAAGGTGGTATGGGAAACAAAGTACAGCCCAAGAGCCTCTTTAGAGTGTTTATTCTTCTTCTGGCTTTTGTTAGAGTGAGTCAATTTTGTGTGCTGTAGATATGTTCTATTAGGTTAGCACACTCATTTTAAAATTTAAATTTAAATAGGTTACTTTCCAGTTGAGTAAAGACCCATTTATTTTTTTAGTATGGTATTTTAGTTGATTACTAATAAATGGTTCAGAATGCTTCTGAGGGCGTTGGTGTATGTAAGGGCTAGTGCCTGGCCAGAAACTGGTACTTAGGGCTGTCAGCGGTTAGATCCTGGTGATTCAAGTAAGGTGGGTATAAATGTAGGATTAGAAACTAGTACTGGGTATTGAATACGTAACAAGTAAAATGTATTAGCTGTTTCTCACCTCACCTAATTTCTTTGCCCTTTTTTTTCTGTACATGGAGGGTCTTTTATTTGTACCTGATGTAGAATATCTGTTAGGTCAAAAAGTAAAACTAAGTTTTTAGCTTTACTTTATGGGGCTCATCTTGCCAGGTGATTTAAATTATAAATTTTGTTGGAAATTATTTTTAAAATGGAATGGAATTTTGTCTCATTTTGAATGTTGGTAATCTGTCAGATAATCAGCAACTTTTATTTTCCTGTGGCATTTGTATCAGAATTGATCAGTTAATTTTTTTTATTCTTAGTGCGAGAAAAGAGGAAGAACAACTATGTAAACCATGTAAGTAAACAGTTGAAAAGTTAAGTAAGAAATTAATAGTTTGAATTAAAAGTTGTCTGCCATGATTCCTAAAAAATATAATGGACCTAATACTATTAGCATAGACGTCTTTTTGTAGATTTTCTAAATCTCCTTTGTTTTCCTTATTACCAAGCTTATGAATTCAGAAAGGTCTTTGGCTTAGTACTGCCATTTCTTTAAGCATTCTGACATTAAGTTAAATTTCAGTAGCATGGTTGTAGTATAAAGATTTGCCTTAATTTTAAATCTTACTTTTTTAACAAAAGTAATAAAAGTGTAACAGCTAAGTTAATTTCAGCACTATTTATGGACTTCCTGTCATAGCAGGTGAAAGTTAAGCTTTCTTACTCTATCGTGCTCTTATTTCCCTCCCACTGTTCCCTCAACATGTAACACGTTTTTCAGAAAATCAGAATCACTGTTTATATTACTATGACTATGCAAATATTTTCACCACTGAGCCATTTAGTTCTGTGGCTGTGCCATTTTCTTGTATAACCCTCATTCTTTTTCTCAAGTGTAACTGAAATCTGAGCACTTCTACACTTTTCCAGGATAATATAATCCCCCTCTTGCCATGATCTCACACATAGCCAAATGCAGTAAGCAGGTTGGTCTCCCTGCTTTAAAAAAAATAAAAGTAAATAATAATAATAATAATAATAATAATTTGTACCTAACAATCTAGTAATTTGACAGACAAAGATGATTATCAGACAGAAATACTACACTTACGCTACATTAACGTAATACCTAGTAATTCTTCATTTCTGTGTGTTTGGAATTAATTTTCTAATTATATTCTCTTGCCTGTTTTCTAACAGCTATTTTTTCCCCCAAATGTTGTAACATGTCACATGCCTATCAAAAATATTTTCCGTCTACTAAACACATTTGTTCCTTTTTTTTTCTTGGAAACAGCCTTCTTCAGCCTTTTATCATCCTGCTCTAGTATAGACTGGTTTTCCCTGGGCCTGCTCTATGCCTGTCTTCTTGGCATATCTCTTTGAAGTCATCTAGGAGCTCACATAACTGCTTTCTCATGTTGGATCCCCTATGTCCTAGATTCTGTTTCCCTGTCTTGTTATACTCCCTTGTTTTCCCGGAGCACATGGAGCACATTTCCCCAGGAAAGGGCACCTGGGCAGATTTTAGAGTTTTAGCCACTCTGCAATGCTGCCTATTTGATCAAGTGTAGAATTCTAGGTTGAAACTAATTTTTGCAGAATTTTTGAGAAGACATTTCTACTGTTTTCTCATTTACAACATCCCTCTTAAATCTGTTGACATTGTATCATGCATTGTATATTACCAGTTTTAGTCATTCTCCCCTATCTCTTCCTTCTCTGGAAGCTTTTAGTACCTTCTCTACCCCTGGGATTCCAAAATTTCGTAATGTGGTTTGGTCTGTACCTTTTCATTTTATTGTGGCCATTAAGTCTGCAGATCTTTTCTCATGTAAGTGAATTTTTAAAACAGTATTTTCTCTGTTCCTTTTCTTGTACTATTTGTATTACTCAGAAGCTGGAACTTTTAGACCAGTATATGTTTATGATTTTCTAATGTTTTCCCCTTCTTTTTTCCATTTTATCTAAAAAGAAATCTCTACTTCCTAGAGATTTACTTGACTTTATGCTCCAGCCTTTCTATTGAATCTTTGTTTTATCTATCTTGTTTTTAATTTTTTTAAAAGAGTTCTTTTATAGTCTCTTATTCTTTTTTAATAGCATTCAGTTTTTTCACCAATGCACATTTTTGCCTTTGCGAGGTTAAGAATTATTTTGTTGAAGTTTTCATTTGCTTCTAAATTTTATCACTCATTAATTTCCTTCTTACTGTTTTGATCTCTCTTACTTGCTGGCTTTCCTCAGATGTGTGGTGGTCCCTGGCTGTATCTTAAGATCTATCTGGAAGCACCAGGACAGAGCAGGATTTTTGTAACTGATAGGCCTTATTGCAGGATTTTGGGGTCAAGCCTGTGAATCTGAACCTGCTTGTGGTACTGTCAGATAAACTGGCTTTCTTATTCCTGCCCCAGGCACTCTTGTAGGAACCAAGTTTGTGCTTCCTCTGTTCTGCCATGTCACTTGCTGCTCTTCAGCTTTCAAACATTAAAAATTACCTGCCATTTGTCCTATATTGTGTATAACCTTTTCTTTCTTTCTTTTTCTTTTTCTTTTTTTGCCTTTAATTCTAATGAGACATCTATGAAAAGAAGGGGAGGAGAAACAAATTTGTAGTCAGTCCCACCATGTTTAAGTTAAATTTAGAACCTATATTTAAAGTGTAAATCTAAGTTTAAAGTTTTAATTCAATATAATTAATGACATTAATTCAGAGAATATTTTTGGCTTTACCTATTATTAGCATACTACACTTTTCTACTAGAGCCTTAATTAAAAATTCTATTCAAACCACTCATCCTGCCATATTGTCCCATTAATGTGCAACATAGATGGAACAGTTTTCATTAATGCATGAAGTGTTAGAAAATTTTAGGTTAATTAAAAGTCATTAATTATTAATATGCAAAACTTGTAGAAAAAGTAGAGAGAAAAAATAAACTTCAGCTTTATTTTTTAATGGATTAAAATGAGTCAGTTAGACACAACGGGTAGGGGCAGTATTTCAGGAGGTACTTGACCTTTGATAGTAAGGTTTGGGTTGTGACTTACTATACTTTTAGGTATGATTATTGTTCTGGTCTTTGCCAGTGAACCTTAAGTCTACTAAACAACCCCTTCCCATGTAAAGATTATAAAAGTCCATCTATTATGTTATTAGTGCTGAATGAATGAAGAGAAAGTATGATTTTTTGTCCCTATGTATTCTGTTGACCAACTTTAATAATACCTAAGGTCACTCAATTGTCAACAGTATTTTGGCTGTTTAACTTTTTTTTTTTGTTATTTGCATTTCATATCTTTATGTTTGTCAGTGTAGTTTACTGAGGTGGTAAGCCAGCAAGAGTCAGTAAGGCTTTAACTAAACATAAAGGACTTTTGTCTAAAGTTTTCAAGCAAGATGAGGGGTAAGTAAGCTGATGTTAGCCAGTATATCTAGGCTTTGCCCAGAAGCTTAATTCTGCCACCCTCTAGTGAATACCAGATACTTGATACTGAAAAGTTTGAATAGCTGGGACCAGGCCTGGACCGCTTGGAAAGCTGTCAGTGTTTCCTTGGTTTGCTGATTTACTAAGTGAGCCCCCATAGGGTTGTAAGCCCATGTCTAATTAAGGAAGGAGAGAGGAACCCTCCCTAATGAAACATTTAAAAAGTTTTAGCACTAACATTCAAAGATAAACCAATATACATTTAAAATAGAAAAAGAATTAGAGGAAAATGGGAGCAAATATCACCCAAAGCTTTACCAACTGGTCTGTATTTTGGTGCATTTTTTCCCTATCTTTTATACTCCCCCAATATATACATTTTTGATCATAATTGACTTTATTATACTATATTATATGCCATATTACACCTTAATAGTAGTGATCTTAAAAGATAATCTTCCATTTAGAATAAAAGTATTTGAATGAATTTACATTTTTTTATGCTGTATTTGTTGGGGTCTTTTTTTGAGATCCCAAAAATAAAAATAAATTACATGTTAACTCTATAGCTTAAGGAACATAGGAGAGTCTTAGCTATAGCTAAAACATTTCTAGCTTAAAGGAGAATTTTCCCCCAAATAGTGGCACTTTTCAAAAATATGCTGTCTGGAAGATTTGGTTAATAAGGAATAAATACCTTTGCAGTAAAACATCTGAAATAAGTGAAATGATGTTTTAGAGATATTTTTGAATGTTGTCTACTGGCAATTTTTAAATGCTCTTTATTTTAAGGGGCATGAACTGGATTTCTTTAAGCCCCATCTTGTGTGTATTTGTGGGGATACTGATGGGAAAGTATGACAGCATGCTGAAAACTATTTTATGTTAATATGAGGAAGGAAGGCTCATCTGAATTCGTTTTTAAAAATACAACAAAACCAAGCATATTAAAATTGTTGGTATTCTGTAATATTAAAGAATGCTACTGTTACTTTCAGCTACTTACAGTGACTGGGATTAGTTATTGGCCTTATTTTAAGGAAGAGAATTGTCCTAACATAGTTTAGGCTATTTCATTACTTGATTATTTTTGTATTGTTGGGTGTTTCACAAATCAATGGATACTTCTAAAGTGTTTTAAAGATAGTTTATTCTTTAGAGGGTCTCAAAAAGTTCATTGTCACCTCTTCACTGCAGATAAATTCTAATTTGCATTTGTAGTAAGATTTACCTCCCAGTTGTAATTAATTTTAAATAATTTGTCAAATACTAGTGGAACTCCTGATTTGTCTCAGATTCTGTGCTCAGTGGCTGGATGGAGGTAGGAAAAAAGTCCTCCTTTCCCTAGGGAAGCTTGATTTTTTTTTTTTTTTTTTTTAATATTCTCACCTGAGGATATATTGAAGGCAGAGAGAGGGAAGGAGAGAGGAAGGAAGGGAGGGAGGGAGGAAGAGAGGAAGGGGAAAGGAAGGGAGGAAAGGAGGGAGGGAGACAGGTAGATAGGGAGATGGGTAGGTAGGTACATCGATGTGAGAAACATTGATTGGCTGCCTCCAGTAGGCCCTGGCTAGGAGTCAAACTGACAACCTTTTGGTGTCCAGTAGGCTGACACTACCCTGCCAGGCTGAGAAGCTTACTTTTCTATTCGGAGGGCTTCCTTTAAGCAATTGATACCATGTAACAAGTGGTAATTCAGATGCCTGAGTGTGCAGAAAGGGAGAAGTTTTGTGGTGTGGTTGCTGTCAGAGGTACCCTGGAGGTAGATGGGGGGTGGGGTGGGGTGGGGAGGGAGTTAAGCTTACTGGGACAGGGAGGAAAAAAAGGCATTATTGGCAGAGAGCGCAGCATGAGTGAGGCAGGGTTGTGATGAGTGTCAAATAACTTAGGGAATAGAATTAATAACATTTAGAAATGAATGGACAGCATTCTTTGAGGTTCTCACTGGAGTAATGTAATGACAGTCTGATTTAAATATGAAATGAGAATTAAATAGTCGAAGTTGTTTTATCTGTTTTTTGGATGTGAGAGAATCTTAAAACAATACTCCTATCCTCCAGATAACTGAGACCGAGAGAGACCTTTGACTCCCTAGCTTGTCAGCAAAGGGCAGCCCTGGCGCGCGCACACACACCTTTGAACTGATAAGTGTTTTGTCACACTGTCTCCTGAACTACTATATATTATTGGCTTTCATTTACTGCGATAAAATGTTCTTGCTTCAGCCCTGGCTGGCATGGCTTGTGGACTGAGTGCCATACTGTGAACCAAAGGTTTCACTGGTGCTATTCCCAGTCTAGGGCAAGTGCCTGGGTTGCAGGCCAGGTCCCCGGTAGGGGGCGCGCGAGAGACAACCACACATTGATGTTTCTCTCCTCTTTCTCACTCCCTTCTCCTCTCTAAAAATAAATAAATAAAATCTTTAAAAAAAAGTTCTTGTTTCAATATTATATAAGGCATTATGTTTTATTGTAGTAAATGAATAGTAGAAATAGAAAATCTTAACTGCTTTTCCTTGCTTAAGACAAAAACTCTGAAATCTTTTTCTAAACATTTTACATTATTATAAAGGGAATGTTTAAGGGTCTGCCAGGTTTGATTATAGGTACTATATCAAGGAGAGAATTTTATAATCTATTCCTCAAATCTTGTCTGTGGAAATTAGAGTATCTAATGGTTTTCCCGTAGAGCTGTACATGATAACATGCTCAAACAATTCATGGAGTATAAGAAAGATCCTAATGCTTAATTGTTTAACATTTTAACGAAGGAAAAAACACACTTTTATAGGTTTAACTTACTGTGACATTTTCTTCTATTTCCCTTCCCCTTCAGGTATCTCCAGGGCACCTTACTAAAAAATATAGCTCATGCTCAACAATATTTCTAGATGACAGCACAGTCAGCCAGCCTAATCTTAGAACCACAATACAATGGTGAGTACAACTAGGTTGCCAGGGGCTGAGTGACAGACCCCGTTATGCTAAAGACATCCTACCCATATATAATTTCAGTCATTTGATTGCCCTTTTCAGTGATCAGGTTAAGAAACTGATGCCAATTAACATATTGATTTCAAGGACCTAAATATGAATTTTCAATTTCCATTTTAATCTTAGAGTGGATGGAAGAAGGAAAAGCCAGTTAGCAAATAAGAAATCCCAGAAAAAGTGCTTCTCTTTATTTGATGCATTTCTGTTGTTAAAACATTGTTGAACTTAATAAAAAGAAGAGGTGCTTTTTATTGGATGGTTCTAGAAGAAAAGTATTTCTTTATGAGATATAGGCCTAAAACAATGTGTGTGTACTACTTTGGAAGCTACTCTTGGAAGAAGGAACAGTTTGTCCCCTATTGGCACCAGAGTGTATGTGTATTTAAATTTAATTAGATTTTGTCAGATTTTCCCCATCATACCTTTTCCCCCCACAATATTTCTGTATAAAAATTCACTTCTCCTTCCTATACCCTAAACAGGGGGAAAACGCATCAAACCAGTCTTAAGAAGTAACTTTTCAAGCTAATTTCTATGTGGATATAATTTGTTCAACTGAGGTTTTAATTTCATAGATACATTAAATTTAATTTTATATATCTATATATAGATATATAAATATCCAAGACACTATATCAATCAATATATAAGAAAATCACAGCAGAAAAAAATGAGAAAGGCAAAGTTTCAAAAACATAGCCATAGTCAAGTGTTTTCTGAAGGAAACATGAACAGTGTGTCATGATGATGAGAACTAGTCATTAATTCCTAGGAGCACCACATAGTCCACAATTGGAGATGCACTTGAAAAACACCCTAATATGAACATTTCAAGCATATTTAAAAAAAAAAAAACAAAGCAGGATGTAGAGATTCCTGACTCCCACTGGGGTTGTCCAAGAATATGTGTGTTAATTTTCCAGGACACAATTTGGAAAATGTTATCTGAAAATATTAATAGCCTCATCCCTGATTTTATTTTTCAGTCTTAAAAATCTAATTAGCTTATAAACTTAATTTTGTTCTGATGTACTAGCTTTTTTTTTTTTTGCTAATTAAATTATCAGTAATTTTTACTTGTTAAAAATAGCATGCTCACCGTCATAATAATGTGACTTTCTTCTCTTCAAACAATAGTTAAGATCAAGTTGCGTTTCAGCAAAAATTGAGCCTTGTCTCTCAAGTTCTGAGCATTGGCACCTATTGAGAGTAATCACTGAATATTTTTATTCAGCCAAGACACTAAATCTATGAGTTAAAAAAAAACAAACCCCAAAAACTCAACTTTGGCTGCATCCTGTAGCTTTTTTTTTTTTTTTAATTCAAAGGATTCCGATATTACAGCATATAATTCAAAAGTAATTTTAAAGATTAACCTTGCTCAGAAAAGCAAGTTTCATGGTTATTTCTCCAAATTAATCTAATTCTTGGAAGTACAGTAAGTTTTATTTTGTTCTCATTAAATTTTGAAGATGGTCATTTTCAGTACATTAACTGTTGGTGAAACAGAAGTTTACTGAGAAAATTAATAGAGCTAATTGGTTTTTAGGGATGATTTTGAAAAACATTTATCATGGGGTAGTAGTACATTGTTCTCAATGGGGTGGATGGGCCTTACTAGAATCATGTATGCAACTTTTTTCAAAATATATGTCTCTAAAAACATGCATTCCATCCCTCCTCCCCCAACACTGTCTCAGTCTCACAAGTTATTAAGCCGAGGAAGGATGTGAGGCATGATTATATGGACAAAGGCATCCTGGGTGATTCTGATCTTAACCCTAATTCATGAGTTCCCAAATTTGGCTGTACATTGCAATCACTTGGAGAGCTCTAGAAACAACCCCATGTCTTCTCAATGCCATATAATTCAGAATGTCTAGAAGTGGAAGCCAGGTAGCTTCTAAGGCTCCTCAGGTGATCCCAATGTATGGCTAAGCTTGGGAACCACTGCCAGGATAGAGTGTAGGAGAACGAGAACTGCTTCTTACTATTGGCGGGACCTTGAGCAAGTCCGTTTTAAGCCTTGGTTCCCTTATCCATAAAATGGGTTGTTGAATTAAATGTTACCTAAGGTTCAGTGGTCGTTTTCATCTTTGAAATTTTATGCTTTGAATTCTGTGATTTTTAAAATCAATTTGAAGATAAAACTATTTGAAGCACTATAGAAGTATCCATCTTTGATGCATGCTAACAATGGTATAGGCCTCTTTACAAGTGCTGCTAATATTCTAGGGGCCTAGTTACAAAATTCAGATTTGCCTTTCCTCAATTATTTTGAGCTTCATTTTAGACACCGAGGGCAAAAGGAGAAGAATGTGTGTAACCTAACCAAGAGAACCCATTTGTTGCCCAATACACAACATTTTTGAATAACTTAGGAATACAGTATTTTTCACAGTATCTGAGGACTTACATCTGCTCGTTAATATTTTATTTAGACTAACTTGGAAGTAATTTATTAAATAACTACACTGTATAGTATTACGCTACATTGTTAGCACTGCTTATTTCAGGAAAGCTGGTATTGATTTTGTGAGTTCTTATTGCTATTAAATTGTCTGATAATTGTGTAAAAGTGATCTTAAATTATTTTATTTGGTATAGAGCACTTTTATTTACCTTTTGGGAAATGATAGGAAATGGGTGGGCAGGTGGATATTGAACTAGATGAACTGAAATGCAGGGCCTCAACAACTTTCTTTTAAAAAAAGCACAAAAACTACTGGATGGCTTCAATTTAAGCATGTGCACAAATACATATATCTTGCACAGGATGAAAGATTCTATGAGTGGAAGGGCAAATGGTGGCAAACATGTAATAACATATATTATAATAATCAACCAAACATACCTTCTAACAGCATATTATTTAGCATTTTGGTTCCCCTATTTTTGCTAAAAGCCAAAGAACTAAAACAAGGGGGGAAGCACCCATATGATACTGTTCTGAAAGAGGATTGCCAGGCAGCTGGGAGGTCTTCCTCCACTTTAGCCCCTTCTAACATGTTTTCAGACATATTAAAATCAATTGTTACAATTTTTTTTCCCTCCACAGTGTGACGTTAGCGATATATTACCACATAAAGAACAGGTGAGTTTTAAAACCTGCCTTATTATTCTAGCTAATAAATTTGCAAGATTTGAAATTTAGTGTTAGGTAATAACTATAGACACTGGAATAAGATATAGACTGCTTTTATTACATTATTGAAGTCAGTCACTTGTTTTTGCCTGAGAACTCTTAGTGCTTAAGTTATTGTGGATCCCCACGAGTATTTGTATTAGAAATTAAAATTGAGAATTTAAAAATAAGTCCATTATATGTTAAAAACAGGATTTTTATCGCACTCTTGAAATTTTGAGCTAGATAATTCTTTGTGGTGGTGGATTGGATTGCGCATTATAGTCTCTTCAGTGGCATCCCTGGCGTCTGCTCCCTCTGCTCACAAGATGCCAGTAGCACCCTCTGCCCACTCTTCTTTGTGATAATAAAAAATCTCTCCAGCCATGGCCAAATGTCCCCTGGGGGACAAAATCACCCATGACTGAGAACCATAGTATTAACATAACTTTTTATTAAAAATATTATTTTTCATAACAAAAAAGTTGAGTGCGAGGCGTGCTATTTACTTACAAATCTCTTTAATGTCTGCCTTATTAATGTCTTCTTAATGTTCTGAAGAAGAGAGTGACTGCTAGAGCAGGTTGGTACCACTGCCTAGAGACATGCTCAGAAATCAGTTTTCCTCACTTTTGTTTTTACACAGTCAGTGCATATGACCGTATAAAAGCAGACAATGCCTTAATATTCCTATAAAAATGGTTTTGACCTCACGGGCCTCCTGAAAAGGGGCTGGGCCCACAGGGGTGTCCAACCTTTTGGCGTCTCTGGGCCACACTGGAAGAAGAAAAGTTGTCTTGGGCCAACATTAAATACACATATACCAGGGAAAACTGATAAGCAAAAAAAAAAAAAAGAAGAAAGGTTTTAAGTGAATTTACGATTTTGTGTTGGGCCGCATTCATAGCCATCCTGGGTTGCGGGTTGGACAGCCTTAGGGGAACAACCCAAGAGGCCGGCAGGACAAACTTGGAGAACCACTGGTCAAATGAGCAGAGTGTATTATGCTTAGGCTCCTCCCTCCCTCCACCCCTTCGTTACTCCCAGCTGATGTATTCCTAAGGTATTAATACTTTCTGATTTAGGGTTTTTTTTTAAACCACATTCTTATTTTTTAGAGATGCAAATAGATCCTTGGATATTTTTGATGAGAGATCACATCCACTCACAGTAAGTATCAGTTTTATTGAGGTTATATTTTTCTCTCACACAGCTGTATTTATGTCATGCTGATTTGTTTTGAAATTAAGTACTAAAAATTACCTCCTCTAACTTGAAGTCAAAATCATCCTTCTTTAAATCTTCTTCCCCACCCCATGTTGTATCTAATTATTTTACAAAAGGAGTGTTGTAGAAGGGATGTAAGAATTGAGTTGCAGCTTTGTATAATTAGTAAGCTTAGCTAAGTAAATGTACCCCCAAAACAGAAAATATATATTTGTAAGATAGTTTTCAGTAGCATCAAACAATATAAATATCTATAAATAAACTTGATAGATATCTTACATCTCTATGAAGAAAATTAAGTTAATCAATATGACAAAAACTATCAAATTCACTTCAGGTGCTTTATAGCAATTTGTGGCTGGTGACGACTGTATACGACTACACCACTGTATACAGAGCCTTAAGGTTGCAGGGAACTGAATGGGTATTTTCAGAGTTGATTGCAGAGACACATGATATGGTGATCAAGACTTAAACCTAAAAAGAGTTTACATTTAGATAGAATTCTATAGTGGTAAGGTGGAAAGGAACATACATACATTTTTTGAGGCTGTGCCTGTATTTTTCTTTAATGAATGTTGGTGAGTGTTGAACCGCTATTGTTTTTTAAGATCCCATAAAAGACTAATAGACATGACACCCAATAAAAATTATTTTAAGGGGCATGTGAGCATAAGTAGAAGACTGCTGTCATAAGAATCCTTTACTTTTCTTCAGTGGATACTTATGTTGCATTTTTTTTTCTTCTTTCAGCGAGAAACGATTCCAGAGGAATACTTTAAGCATGATCCTGAACACAAATTTATTTACAGATTTGTTCGTACTCTTTTCAGTGCCGCACAGCTAACAGCTGAATGTGCAATAGTAACTTTGGTAAGAGCTCTTCTTTCATAAAGCATCTCTTTCTATCTTGTACACAGGGTATGGTCCTGTTTTTCAAATAAAAGAACTTTTTTAAGAGAAACCTATCACAGGAAGTAAAATATACACATTGGAGCTTAAGAATCATTGTAGTTCAAAATGTTGCAATTGCTTTTCCCATCTCAAACAACTGCAGTTAAAGGCAGCAGGTGTGCTGGTCGGGGAGGGTGGGGGCAGTAACAAAGCCATCTGGCCCACAGGCTGGGAGGAGGCCTACGAGGCTGAGCCCCAGGCAGTTCTGACGTGTGCCTTGGTTGAAAACTATAGCCTTGAATTTTCTATTCCTCGGAGGATGGGTGTTAATCCAACCCCCCTGTTTTCTTGGGACTGCCTATGAGGTTGCCCAGGGTTATAGTGCAAGCAGTACCTGAAGAGGCTTTGCCAGTTGCCTGCTAAGCTGCAGCTGGGGAGGATCTTTGTGTCACCCTTACAGAATTCCTATGGTATGGTTTTATCTTTTAGAATAGTAAATCCTGTTCTGGTGAGAAGTGATTAGGATTGTATTACTCCTCCCTACAGCAAGCTTGAAGGGAAAAGTCAATGGCATGGTCTGCAGGGAAAGAATACTTAGTTCAGTGCCTCCTCCCTTAGTATCCAGTTAAAATTTTGGAAAGAAAGCTTGTGCTCCTGAATGGAGACCCCTCCATGGGCACTGGATCAGACACAGGCCTTTTCATGGAGTTGGCGGCTGCTGGGAGTGCTCAGCGCATGCTGAGGAAGGCAGCAGCGCTACTTCCATATGGGGAGCTAGGTAATACCGGAGGGAGAGATCTTTGTAGACACGTTAAGCTTGATGGACCTGCAGCAGCAGAGCGGCAGTGTCTAGTGATCATTTCAATAGGTGAGATTAGAGCATAAGTCTGAGCTAGAAGTAGGGAATTAAGAGTAGCTGTTCAAATGCAGAGAAAGCATATGACTCAAAAGTGGACAGAAGATAGAACTGTGTGACAGAGGGTAGGTATTCAGTGGATATTTAGGGAATGAGGAACTTCTCGGAAGCATTTAGCATTTGACCACACTCTCTGTTGAACCTCATTTTATCTTGGCTTCTCTTTGATTATTCTCGCCTGGTTTTCCCACCATCCTAGCCACCCCTGGGGATTGTCCCCTAGTTGCTTATAGTACTTACAGATTTAAGTGCTGAGGAAAGAGGAGAGAACAGGTTCAATAACATTCTTGCCATTATGGAGCTTGTATTCTAGTGAGGAAGACAAGTATTTTTTAGTGAGTGTTCTTAAAAAAAAAAAAGATAAAGCAGGGTAGAATGATAAAGTGATGACAAGCGCTTACTCTTTTAGATAGAATGATCAGGAACAGCCTCTTTAAAGAGCTAGCATTTGGACTGTGTCCTGATTGAACTGAGGAGGATAAGGAGCTCTGGTATTACAGGTAGAGGGGACAAATGCAGGATTCTGAGCCTAGTGCAAAACATGCTTTGTGTGTTCAAGGAACAGTGAGGGGTGGCCAGTGTAGTCAGAGTGTCAAATGAAAGAATGTGGGACATGGCAGCATAGAAGGGCAATGCCCTATCCTACAGGGCCTTGTAGCTTGCAGGGCGTGGGAATAAGTTAATTTTTATTTCATGGGGAATCTTCGGCAGACGTTGAGCAGGGCAGTGAAGTGCCCTTAATTAAAGCGGCTGTCCTGGGGAGAACGACTGTAGTTGGGAGGCTGAGGAGTCAGGAGGCAATAACAGTGATAACAGGTGAACAGGGACAAATAGACTACAAAGTGTGGTCAGATTACCAATGATAGGTAGAGATAAGAATTGCTAACAGATTCGAGCAGGCTAACTCAAATGGAGGGTTTTGCCCCAGCCACTAGGTAAAATGGCAGTGCCCTTTATGATTCTAGGGAAAGCCTGAGGAGTGGAGAGTTGGGGTGAAGAGCTCTTGTATGAATGCATGAAGGCACCTTAGCAATGGTTGTTTCAGTAAAGTGACAGTGGCAGGGGACAGGCTGAAGTGGGTTCAGGACAGAATGGGAAGTGAGAAGCAGCATCAGGGCATTTACTGTCAGCAGAACAAGAGGAAGCATTCTAGGGGTGTGGGGGGCGAGGTGGGAGCAACATAAGGCATCACGTTGGGGAAAGCCTCTGGCAGACAGGGAGGGCTCTTCATAAAGAGGTAATTGTGGGAACAGTGTGCTGCAGAAGTGGGATGGATTGACTTCATGATGGAAGAGTGAGCTTCAGCGAGAAGAGAAATCGCAATTCCACTGCCACAGGAGGGCAAGGGGTATGAATGAATAATGGCAAGTTTGCTGGTAAAGATGACAGGAAGTTGACTAAATGCTAGTGTTGTGTAAGTGCCCCTAATTATTTCTATAAAGTATAGAGTAGGATACCTGAGAGCACTGAGTTTTGGGGAATGGGTGCAGAATTTCACCAAGAACATATAATGTTTAATAATCATTGGTTTTTGAAAACACAGTTGAGTTTGGACAACTTTGGCAAGTCTGAGCTGTCAGTCTGATAACCTCAACATACTCTTGAAAACTGGACTTTTTTCTTTTTGTCAAATGGCATATATACTCTTGAGCAAAGCATCTTTTGAGGTAACAACAAATCACAGTTTACCTCTATAATCTTTACTTAGCTGTTAACTTTGCTCAGTTCTTTGTAGAATAGACATTTAATAGATGTAAAAGAAATCCTGAAATCTCACAAGCTTCCTGGCGGATTTGGAGGAGTACCAGGGATGAAGAGACTGGCAGCTCTGTTACCACCAGAACTGACTAAAGCTTAGATTATGTAAGGCAGAGAAGAGTTGCATAAAATGATAACGGAGATATGAATATTAGGGGACATGAGGAGGACTATCCTTGGTATGCATGTGAATACCTGGCAGTTGCACAGCCCAGCCTCAAGTACCCTTGTTTGTACTGCCTGCCCTGCTGCACCACACAGCAGCAGCCACTGGGAGGCTCCATTGACCACAAGTTTTTATCTTCAGCGCGTGCCACAAAAAGACCTAGTTACTGTGAAAAGAGGATGTAAGTGTGCTCAGTATTACCAGAGACTTACATATTCAAGTATTATGAAAATCACAATATAACTATCAGCCAGGTATGAACTCAAGTGTTTTATCGAACTAGTTGAATTTACACTGGGCCCGTGTATGCTGTTTTTTATAAGTGGAAAGTTAATAACAATGCATTTCTTCAGGATGACCTTTACTAAGATGCACATTCACTCCTATGACCAAATATTGGGCTGGAAATTTGCATGGGCAAAGTAGGCAGTTGAGGTATCTGATTTGCAGCTGTGACTTGGCTTCTGGCTTTGACTGGCCAGCAAGTCTCTGTAGAACCTAAGAATAAAGGGCATGTTAAAAAATAGATGAAATCTGTCATTGCTAACAGTTCTTATCACAGCACTTAAACTGAACTAAAATCAAAGACCAGTGCTCTCTACTTTTGCAGGTTTACTTAGAAAGGCTTTTAACTTATGCCGAGATTGACATTTGTCCCACTAACTGGAAAAGAATTGTTTTGGGAGCCGTCCTTCTTGCCTCCAAGGTTTGGGATGATCAGGCTGTATGGAATGTGGACTACTGCCAGATCCTCAAGGACATTACAGTTGAGGACATGTGAGTTCGTAAGATTTTGGTGAACTTTCTAACCATTTTCCAGTACCTCATTTGCCCCCACAAAGTTTATATGTTAAATATTTGTAAGGCTTACTTTGTACAGGTAACTGAAATACGGCATAAAATTAAATACTTCTTTCTTATCCATCTTTGGTGTAAAAATTCATATTCCTCACCATTAAGTGGGTCTTAATGTGCTATTCTTGTAATAATTGGCTTGATAATTATTTCTGTGGTGGTTTTTGGCATTTTACAAGTTCACTACCAGAACAACAAATATCTTCATAGCTTTCCTAAAGGCATTTACTAGTTCCTGTCCATTTTTAAGGGGCATACATCTAGCCCTTGAAATCAATGTTTGACCACTGTTACGGTCTTAGGAGCACTAGCCTATTGAGAGGTCATAGCTTAAACCTGAGTGACATATGGCATATTTACTTTTACAGGTCTTTTTATATGAAGTTCTGTTGTTAAATGAAACCATGACCAGCCCTTGCTGGGTAACTCAGTTGGTTGTAGTATTCTGATATTGCTAAGATTGCAGGTTCAGTCTCTGGTCAGGGCACATACAAGAATCAACCAATGAATGCATAAATAAGTAAAATGGCAAAAGAGAGAGAGAGAGAGAGAGAGAGAGAGAGAGAGAGAGAGAGAGAAAGAGAAAGAAAGAAAAAGAAAACTTAAGAAACCGTGATAGAAAATTAGCCACAGCCCTGACCAGCATGGCTCAGTTGGTTGGGCGTCATCCTGGTAAGTGAAAGGTCACCTGTTTGAGCCCTGGTCAGGGCATGTGCCTGGGTTGTGGGTTTGGTCCCTGGTCAGGGCACATGCAAGAGACAACCAATCAATCATTCTCTCCCTTCCTTCCCCCCTCCCTCTCTAAAAATGAATTAGAATTTTTTTTAATTAAAGAAAAGAAAATTAGCCACATATAAAGGATTCATCCCTGTGCTGTCTCCTGCCTGTTTAAAAGAATTGCTCGTGTTTCAAAATGAGTTTGATGAGTTAGGAAGCTCCTACCTCTCAGGCAGTTGGAGAAGCATCACTGGGCATCACCCTGTGCCCATCCCGCTCGAGAGTTTCCTGGGGCACTCAGCAACCACAGCAGTGCATCGTCGTGGGGCGGTAGGTTAACCACTGATGTGAGAGGGAAACACTAAATTTAACAAGGGCATTTGATCTGGCCACACTGACTACTGAGAAGGCCCCCAAGGGTGGGAGGCTGGATAAGCCAAAGAGGTACTTGCCCGCAGACTCTCAGACTGCCCACTTACCAGTGGGAGTGTCTTTGTGGATGGCATTTCGGGACATGTGAAAGAACACCTCTGGGTAATATTGAGTAGCATAGGAGGAGCAAGAGCATGGGAGGTAGTGGCAAAAGTTTGTTTTTGTTCCCTTTGCTCATTACTCTAGAAAATTTCTAGATAAGACTTACTCAGAATTAGCAGTTGCATATTTATGACTGAAGTGAGGATACCTGTGACCAAGAGAAGGGACCAGTAATTGTCAAAGTGGCTTTTGGTGTAAATGCCCACTTTGATAATAGTGTAAATTGAGGACTAATGGTGATACTTCTGGTAGCTGTCTTAGCAAACTGTGTCAGCAAATAATGAATTTGAAACAAATGGAAGTACTTCTGGAAGTTGCAGAAGCTAAAGTGACTTTGATCACCACTGTCATCAATCTTCAGACTAGTCCCATGAGGAAAAGAAAATTTGCAACCATGAACACTCGCCCTGCCGTAATGGCAGCTGAAATTTTCTCAAAACCTGCAACTAAGTTGGCTGGGGCTCTGTTTGTGATTGTACCATCAGAGAACATGCAGGGAAATATGTGGCTTTTCATAGGTGTGGGCTCCAGGGGCAATGGTGGCAGTGTCTGGCTACAGGAAGACTAGTTGTAAACGTGCTTTTTGTGTACAGAGAAACACCAGGAGCTTTTGTTTATGATCTTTGGAAAAGGGAAGGCATTACAGCAGTGTTTAGTGTACATTGGTTTCATCCCCTTGCTTTGACTATTTGTAATGGTCTCATTTGGAGTCTAAATTGAAAAGTCAGTGTCTGTCAGCTTTTTCCTAAAACTTTCCAACATCCATGTGTCTTTTTAGAATATATTTCCCTTCAGAAGAATAGGTTAAACTGAGCAGCTGCTATTCAGAAAACTTGCTGTGCCTGTAAATGGTATGCTAGTCAGCTATCTAGCCATTGAGAAAACAACAAAAACTCCAGAAAATGCATATTCTGTAGGCATAATGCTTTTCTTCCATGATTAAATCTCTATTAATAGCATGTTAATCCTATGAAGTACTGTATTTCTACACAATTAAAATGTATTAGTGCAGAAAATATAAAAGGGTTAGTGAAGTGCATTTATTCCTGTAGTAAATTAAGTCCTGATTAGCTGATTATCACAACATTATCTGATTTACATTTCTATAGACTTATGGCCATATGAATAGGAAATGAATTTTGGAGGTCATTTTGGAGGTCGGTTCAGTTGGGTTTAAAGTTCGACAAATGAGAATATCTCATCTCTGCTCATATTCTGACTGCTGTCCACATATAAAGGTTTCAGCTTTCAGGAGAACAGCCTTTGTTGACCTAATGGATAAAATATTAAAACTTTAAAACTAAAACACCAAATATGTTAGAATATAAGCCTCTCATGTTTGTTCAAGTATTTATCATTTCTATATAATTAACTCTGTCAAGGGATTACTGTGAAAGTAGTATGATTTACTCTAATTTTATATTTAAACACTTGGCAGGTGACAGCATTATGGTCACATAGCAAAGGTCTGCTCCCAGCTTTCCTTGCCCACTTTATCGAACTCACCCCGTGGCTGTGTTCCCCTGCCCTCTAGCAACGACGGTGGGTGCTGAGTGTCTCAGGGTTGCTTTCCTAACACAGGAGAAACACTTGGAGTTTGAGTCCAGATCTCTATCAGAGGTCATACCATAAAGTGGGTTCGGTCCAGCCAAGGTACCTGTCTTTAATCTCTCTGCTTCCAGTTTAAAAAGTGCATCCTGTCCTGTCATAGTGACAGTTTCTCACCCCAGTAAGATTAAGGTGCACAGAAACTTGCATTACGCCCTCTGACGTTAGCCCCTGAGCCGGGGCACAGGGAGGGCTTCCCGTTCCCATCAAATGTGGCTTATTTATTTATATATTTGAGATGAATCCTTGCTGCCTCAAGAGTTTTCCCCCTCAGGGATAATAGCAGTGGCTCTCGATGCATCCATTTGTTGCCGTGGTGATGTGCCCACTCCTTTTGTTGGTGCGTCTCTACTTCAATAAGCCCCTTCCTGTTATCGGTCTGGTGAAAATGCCTGCAAGTTCTTCAGAGCTAATAAACAGCACACATCACTCCTTTCATCTGATCGCTATAGTGGGGCCTTGCGAGTGAGCAAGGAGCACGAATCGAACAGCTGCACTAATGGAACTCTGAAGAATGAGCCCCGAGTCAGCAGCACGGGTGCCCAGAGGGCTGTAACCTGCTCCCCCCTTGTCCCAAACTCAAAGTGCTGGGATGTGGGAAGGACCACCAGTAGCTGTACCTTGTTTGAATATTAGTGTATTAATATAACTGGGTAGCCTTTATTTGTTTCAAAACAAGATTTAGAGCCATCTTAATAGCTCAGAATGATATTTTTGAAGATAGCCCAGTTGACTAAAATTGTCCTGTGTTGGTTTTGTCTCCTCCTCCCCCCACCCTCCACCCCCACCCCAGGAATGAGATGGAAAGGCATTTTCTGGAGCTACTTCAGTTTAATATTAATGTTCCTGCCAGTGTTTATGCCAAATACTACTTTGACCTTCGCTCCTTAGCAGATGACAACAACCTGCCTTTTATTTTTTCGCCTCTTAGCAAAGAAAGAGCACAGAACCTAGAGGTAAGGCTGTGGAATCAACTAAGTAGGGTTTCTGTCAGTCACCAAAGCCAACATCGGTGGATATATCATAATAAGTAATTAGGAAAATACAAAGCTTTTTTAAAATTAACACATTGAAAAGTAGCTTGTTATAACCCTTTCACATTATATGTCTGGTGTCTTTTATGGTTTCTACAAGGATCCCACATTATAAAAAAAAAAAAAATATTACAGATCTCTTCTCTGACCATAATTCAGAATATTTTAAATCAAATTTAACCTGTTAATGGTCTTCGATTTGACCCTTCCTTATGACCATATATGAATTTCTTACAACTGTATCACTAATTATATCTACATATATAATCTACTTACCATTCTTACATCAGTGTGCAAATTCATGTCTTTTCTATATATAGTCCAGTTCAGTCCCATGAGTTTATTAACAAAGCATTAGTTGCTAACCAGAGGAACATACAAGTGTACTTAGACTGTACGATGTGTGTTTCAAATACTGGGGGTAGAAAGTACATGGGTTTTTAATGGAAATGGTAAATAGATGGGACAAAGTAATACTTATGGCTTATGACTTCTGGTGAGCATACAGAATTATTCACAACTGAAATGGTCGCTTTCTGTGGTGCCTTGGTGGTACTTTAGAATAAAGTATTTTTCGACCATAATTAATGTGCAAGTAAAATAGTTCCTTAGGGTGCTTCAGTCATTAGACTTTTCCTACTGTCCAATAAATTACAGAACACACGTGCCTCATTACAATTTGCTTAGAGTATATAATAGCTAATGAAGATTGGATAGAATTTGAATAGCTGAGTAAACACTGATTTTGCCCAAGTGTATGTTCATTAAGGAACACAGGCAACAGATGATACTGTTCTTAGGAGCCTATTATGCCCATGATATCTTTGGAAACCCAGTTTTTAGATAAGTCTAAATTCCCCTTTGCTCTGGCAATCTAATCACAGCCCCTAAAGGACTTACCTTAGTGAATTAGCAAGAAGTAGCATCCCCAGAACCTGGCAGTGTAGACCTCAGCTACCCAAAGCAGCAAAACTATGAACTGTATAAAGGAGAGTGAATGTACGGCTTATCAGTGGTGCTTTTTTAGAGGTTAGAACCCTTGTTTTCTTTAATTGGACCTATGTTCTATTTGATTGCCTTTCCTAGGCCATGTCCAGATTGTGTGAAGACAAAGACCTGTGCAGAGCTGCTCTGAGAAGGTCTCTCAGCGCTGATAATTTTATTGGTATTCAGCATTCTAAAGCCATCCTGTCTTAAGGGAGAAGTGAGGGGTTGTAACATTGTGAGCCCCTCATCTCCAAGGACTGGAAAAATACCACGTCACCTGCTCAAAAACCAGCAAAGGCAGTCCCTCATCTAGGAGGACTGGAGAAATACCACCTCTCCTGCTCCAGAACCAGCAAAGTTAGTGAGAGAGACATCAAGCTGAAGAGACTTGTGGACAGCAAGTATTCTGCTTGTAGCTCATAGGAACGAATGAGACCTTGTCAATGCAATACACTCTTTGTCCTTTACTAAACAGTTACAAACGCCACTCCAAGCAAAAGCTCCCAACCCACACACAGGTATTTGCTTACAGTGTAGGCTGATAACTGTGAACTATGTGAGGCTTTTTTTTTTTTATTGAAGTTTAAATTTTGAAACTTGAAAGACACTAACTATATATAATGTTTATGTCTTTCCTATTTTTCTGAACTGCCTCCTCCAAAAAAAAGAAAACAAACCCCTCCCCCAAAGGAAAAAGAAACCCCCCACCAATATTGCTGCATATTCCTTTACAATCAATGCAGTATTACCATTAAAACATGGGACTCCTAACAACTCATAAAGCCACTTAACAACAGACTGTAGCATTGTTAGGTATTGAAGGATTCTTCCTACTACATCATGGAAGCTGCTAGTCATTATTGGCAATCAGTTTAAACCAAAATGCTGCTGAATAACACTTGTCATTCAGTTCTTTGCAGGCACTACTTATTAGCATATTAGCATGTTGGGGATAAGAGAAAGTTTCAGTCATTGATTATCTAGTTATATTGGGTCCACGCTACATATCTTAACTATAATGTGATTTTTAAATAACTATAAGGATGCTTATTTTCTGATTTTTTTTTAATGTATCAAAAGATATTTTCATAATTCCAACCAACATGGTGGTCCAGTGATAACAAGCAGGTAACAAAATATTTGGTGCTCCCCAAGTACAGCATAGTGTGCCTGGGCCCTCCCGGGCGCTCCTGCGGAAGTAGCAGTGCCACCACTCACAAAACATCATGTGAAAGTTTAAATTTCTATTTCTTGTAAACTTACTTAGTTTTGTAAATTGTAAAATGACAAAGATTGGAACAAAAAAGTAATATTTAAATTTTAATTTTTTTGTTTCAGCCAATCTTTGCCATCTTCAAGAGGGAGCTGAAACAAAAAATTAAGACTAAAAGCGTAATATTTAAAATATACAAAACTGAGTTTTAAGAGACATTTAAACTTTCAAATGTTTTTTAGGCTGTAGCATTTATACTTCAAGTGCCAAAAATTAAAATTGCACTGAGATTTTAGGGAGACACCTTGTATCTCCACAGAAATGCCCTCCTCTTTTAAAAATAAATCTTTGCAAGTCATCATATAGGTTATTTGTATTGCTTTTTATTTATTTTTTGTTTTTTCGTTGCTTTTTCTTTTTTTTTTTTGCTCAATCCCTCCCCCCCCGGCCCTCCAACACTCCCCTCCCCCCGAGCTGTCAGCCTCCTCTCTCTGAATCTGTCTCCGTTTTGCTTGTCAGTTCATTTTGTTCATTAGATTCCACATATGCGTGAAATCATATGGTACTTGTCTTTCTCTGACTGGCTTATTTCACGTAGCATAATGCTCTCCAGGTCCTTCTATTATGTCACAAAGTGTAAGATTTCCTTTTTTACTGCCGAGTAGTATTCCATTATGTAAAGCTTTTTTACATCCACAGCTTTTTTATCCACTCACCTGCTGATGGACACTTGGATTGCTTCCAAATCTTGGCTATTGTAAATAGCTTTGCAATAAACACAGGGTGATTAGATGGTAACATTTGCTTTCTCTTAAAACATGATAGGTCTATTTTGATACATACAAGATTCTTAATGGTTTAAGTTCTAACCTTTTAGGATATATAATAATGGATCCCCACAAACAGCATTATAAGGAAACTTAAGTATAATAGATTAGAAAATTTTTCACAGAAGAAACAAAAATGTAAATCTAAATAACATAAAGCGAATCACTAAAATAAAAAAAAAAGTTCTTTGCAGGGCTGTGCTGTATACCTGCTTTGATCATCAAAGTTTTATTTTGTTTTTCTACTTGGGAAAGGAAGATTATGAGCAGCAGTGTTAATCCACATGTAATACATTGAAAGGAAGTGGACCCTAATAGGAGCGTTTTAAAAGTAGGTGATAGGAAATAGCTCTTCTATCCTGCATGTAGACTTGGCTGCAGGTGTCCCATTTCAGTCTTGCTATTTAAGAGGAAACACGAATTTTAGGAACCCTTACCCCAGGCTTTAAAGGGCAGGGAGTTAAGTAACCAATCTTTTAGAAGATTGGTCACCTAAACTTGAAATACTTTTAAAAGTTAACATTCTCAACTATGTGAAATCTTTTTTCTACCTACCTTCTCAAATGTATTGCTAGAAATTTTGCCTATAAACAAAGCATTTCTGGGCCAGGGAATACTTTCTTTCAATATACAAGGCTTCACATTATACTGAGTACTGCTGGTTCCATCATTTTTAAAAGACAGAAACAAAAAATAATGGTATATAAAATACTACAATCTACCACCTCAAAGAAACAAAACAAAGCATTGTTTATGGAGTTCAGAGCTTGGAGATTTAAGTATTGATTGCAGTTTTATTTTGAAAAGAGTGCTAAACTTATGTGGTTTTTCTTCCTCATGTTTATATTAAAAGAAAAGCTAATAAACCCTATTTTAATTAAAACATGGCTAGTGTGTGTTTGTAACTCCTCTCTCTATTCACATAGCATTTTCTCTCTGCTTTACTTACGTGTTTTCAATGAGCTCTGATAGTGAGGTCTTAAAGTATTTCCATAAGCTGGTTTGACCCTTGCCTCTAAGATGTAGTCATTTGTCTTACATTCTTTTCAACCTAAAGAGAATTTATTACACCTAAAATCATTGGCCACAGTAATCAGTGGCATGGTGCATTAGATGGCATCTTTGAATGGTTCATTTTTGTGCCAAGAGGGAAAAGCACATTGGAAAATAAACTTAGGTAAAATCAGAGAGAAAGGAATTACAGGGAAACTGTACATTAGAATGTGAGTTGAGGGTTTCAAGCAATTTAACAGGGCAGAATATGAAAGAACGAACTAGAATTGTGTTTGCTTTAAGGAGGGTGACTTTAAACAAGCCACATAATTTGACTTTAAAATGCTACTTGCAGACTTAACATTTCAGTTAGAAATTTACAAGGTTCTCTAAGATCTCTTTACAACTAAGATCCTAGCCACTTGGCTTGAGCAATACTCAGTAAACCCTGATAATTTTGCTGTATTGTCATGCATCTTATTTTACCACCTAAAGGTCAAATCTCATCACTTGTTCTTGATTAACTGTTGATTAAGATAAATGATCTGATTTAGTTTAGAAGGATGAAATATACGTATATAAATATATATGTATCACATATCACTGTAAGACAGTTTGCACCCCATACTAATATGCTAGCTACTAAATAGCAATGCTGGCATATATGAATGGTCAAAGGGTAAAAAAAAGTTTGGAGAAGGCACATTGGGCACAACTCTGGTTTCAGGAACAAGTTAGTGGATTAACTAGAATCAATAAAACTTGGTCTTTCCCCTTTGGCTTTAATTCTACAAGGTGATAAGGCCATTTTGATAAATGGGAAATTGAGTCAACTTAGAATATAAACCACTGAAAGTGAACAGGTTTTCTGACATGTGGGACATGGAAACTAGTTATTAGTATGACAGTAACTGACAGTTTTCTCAGGGTTTTATACCTGGGAAGGTTTGTTCCCTAAAGTAACAAGACTATAAAAGAATATCTGACTACCTTGACTCAAGTTTATTTTCATTCTTAGTTTTTTTCCTATTGGAATACTGACCTCAATGAAATTTTAACTTTGTATATTGTGAACTGAACTGTTAAGTCTTCAGTACGAGACAAAGGTCTGAAATATGTTTGAACAAATTGCCATTTTTGTATGTCAAAAATCATTGCCTATCAACAGTTTCATATGGTTCATCTTAAAACAACAACTTAGGACCCAATGTTTCTGGTTAAAGAGAAATTCCTTCCATGCTATATCAGATTCCACATGCCCCTCTCTTTCATATTTATTCTTACTATGTCCCATATGCCCACACATTATTGAAATACAGCAGCACTAAATCCTGGTTTTATAACAGCTCATGGTTCATTTCTTGGTTTAGTTTCCCTGTGTCTATAAATACACTATTCCCTGATTTAAAAAAAAAAAAAATGCTGAAGCCAGTATTTACCGGAAAAGAATTCACTCTGTATTCAGGTTGTGCAGTGTTTTTGGAAATGTTTAGCTATGGCATGTAGGTTAGCTAAAATCTTTCATCACCCAAGCCTTCTCCCTAACCACATCTAAAATGACTAGACTGTTCCCTCACCCAGAAGCTGCATTCTTGAGTACAGGGCTACTTGGAAAAGCACTTGACAGCTGGCAGAGAAATCTCCCAGGTAAGTGTTAGTTTCAGTGCAGAATCTGCAGATTATACCCAGCATCTATCAACAAGTGAAGGATTAGATTACCTAAAGTCTTAACTTAGCCACTTACCGACCTGGTCCGCCTGCCACTGTGCCAGCGAACAATACAAAACATCTTGGAGCCCTTCAGCAAGGCCTGTTCCCCTAGAGCGCAGCACAATCTGTTTGGTTTCTGAGGCAATTTCCACTCAACTATTTTAAATGCGTTTGCCAGATGAGAGACTGTGTAATATGAAATAAATACTAAGAATACCGGTCTGTGGTTTAGGATCTCTAGGGTGCAGAAAGAAGTAGGAAAATGAAATAGTTTAGAAATTAAGTGGAATCCAGAGTCAAATCAAAAGAGGTTAACAGTCTTTAAAAAATGAACAAGTTAAGCGATTATTATAACTGCTATGAAGGGAACTAAGTAATTTGAACAATTAGAGAAATTTAGTGATAGCATCAGAAGTTACCAATAGTATTTACTTCGAGACCTCAAATGATTCTGCCAACATTTTCTTGAAACATTTATTATTTCATCTTAGTCCTCTCAATTTCACTAACCCTTACTTTTAGCCCCCCAAACGGAAGCCCCTTTACCTCCTCACTGGACTGACTTCCTTCAAACCCCTTTTAATCCCCTATTTGAGCCATCCTGTGTTCCCCAAAACAGCTGTTCCCAATTTACCGCACTTGCTGACTCCCTGACCTGCCCACAACCCTGGATGTATCTCCTTGGTCTAGGCAGCATCCCCACATTCCAAACTCCAAAACTCATTTCATCTGGCATTAGGAAGAGATATCTCGCTTCTTAAGGTAACGCCTTTCATCTAACAGGGGATTCCACCCCAAGTCTGAAAACAACCACCTATTTCCACCTCCACCAGTTTATCCCCTTCTGCTTCAAAACTGCATTCATCTCCCCAGTGTGGGGATGGGGGCAATTTGACTTTGCTCGGTCATTCACATGTCCTAGGGATTCTCAAGATGTCCCCAGACCAGCTCTTATCAAATGGAAGTGGCTATGAAAGGCAAAGTTTCTCTACATGTAATGTAGACTCTTGGATTGGATCCTGAGACAGAAAAAGAGTGGTGGTGGGAAATCTGGTGAAGTCCAAATGAAGTCTGGAGTTAATAGTAATGAACCAACGTTGACGTGTTCGTTTTGACAATGTACTGTATATTAACATCAGAGAAAAATGGGTAAGGAAGGGGTATATAAGAACTCTGAATTGTTTTTGCAACATTTTTGTAAATGTAAACAAAACTAAGAAAATAGCAAGCAGCAGTTTCTTGGGCCCTACCAAAATTTCAATTCCTACCAGACCTACCAAATCTCAATTCCTGGAGCTGAAGTCTAGGAATCCACATTTTTAATAGCCCCTAATGATTCTAACGTGGACTCAAATTTGAAAACCTAGTGTTTTAATTCTCTCTCCATTCTCTGCCTGAACAGCTGCTTCTTCCTTGCTTTACCTTAACATTATCTCAACCTGATTTAATCCTTTGGATCCTCTGAACCCTAAGGGCTGAAGAGTAGTATTATCCCCCTTTCACAGATAAGAAAACTGAAGTGCTAAGAGGTGAAGTAAAAT